AAACGCATGATCGCAGCGGCTAGTCTGGTACGAGTTGCTATTTATTCTTGTTGAAGCAGATAACATGGCATTGGCTATCCAGATGCCGTTATAGTGAAAATCTGTTGTAATTGATGTCAAAGAAAAGTATGATTGTTCTATGGCTCCCTGCTGAAACCTTTCATTACAGATCATCGTGACTGATCAGAGGTTTTTTGATTTGTTCAAAAAATACGATGGCTGCAGTAAAAATGAAATCAAAATGAAGCGACCCACGCAGCTCATGGAAGTGCTTGAATTGGCGCGTGAAATTCTTCACGAACAGCAAGTAATCAATTTATTCGATTATTTGAGCTCTCTGAATGAATGCCTTCATGCTAATTAAATATAGCGGGACATAATTTATAAGGATTTGTGTTGAAGTATTTCTTGGCGTATTTTAGATAAAAATCAGAAATCTTGTTTTAATCGGCGGATAAGATGCGACGTAATGTTTGGTGATTTTTGTAAGAACCTAACTGAGCACTAATTTGATTGAACTGATTAAGATTGACTCGTAAAAATCATTTTCCGCTGTTGAGCACTGTAATGCATTTCATTTTTGTCAAGCAAATCGAGTGTCTTTCGCCACGATTTGCTTTGAGAAATGGCCTACATCACTTTTTGTTTGAGTCAAAGATAATGCCTAATCTCCGGGAGGTTATTTTCAATTGATCAATAATTATAATTGCACTTTTCATATTTTTTTCGTGTTTGCGGTTCAGTATATTCTAGCTTTTTCACAGTTGTTAATCGTTGTTATCGTCGCCAGTGATCTGTGACTTCCAGTCTTCTCATGTCCGAGCCACAGCCTGTAGGTTTTAGTCAGGTTGTGAGTGAGTTAAAGAATGGTCTAAAAACCACGGTACGTGCCAGATACTGGTCACGAGAGTTGATACATTTTTTTCCCACTTCACATCTGCAATTGGTTTAATTTTTCAGGAACATCGTAATGAGTTGTTGAAAGAAATGGAGTTATGCGAGGAGAATGGTGGCAGTTCTTCGGAGCTGGATCGAGATTTGGAACGATGCGAGGAAGCGATCAAGAAATGGGATCAAGTTCGCACAGTACTTGAAATGTAAGCATCCCCTTTTAGGATTCACTCATTGCCATGACTGTTAAATTTCGGTTCCTGAATTACTGGTTTTTCAGGTATGGCCATTTTTCGGGCATTAATCGAAAAGTTCAGTTGAAATATTTGAAACCACGTGAATTTAAAACATCGGATGGCGAGGAGGTACATCAGCAATCAGCACTGATGCTTATCTTGAAATGGGGTGGCGAGCTGACTACTGCCGGTTAGTGCGCGGAACAGTGTTGAATAACCTGCATCTCCATAATTTTATAAGTCTTCATTTAAAAAATATTTTTTTTTAAAAGTCTTCAAAAATATAAATTAGACGATTAACTTATAGGAAATTTGCAAGCCGAAG